TTCACAATTTTGGTAGAGGGCTCAATGCTTATTACAATGATGCCAACAGTTTGACTGCTTGATGTTCTGGAGTAAAGAAGAAGATTTTTAAAGATTGCATTATTTTTGGTGGTTTTATCCCCACCCCTCAGGCCCCAGAGGGGCAGGGACCATGAAATTCACAATTTTTGTTCCCCTTCACCCATAGATGCTATATGCCAAATTTGGTTGAAATTGGTTGAGCGGTTTCAGAGAAGAAGCTAAAAATGTTCAAATGTTAACGCACGACGCACGCCGACGGACGAGAACGGATAGCAATAGGTCACCTGAGTGACCTCTTGTTTTGACATAAATGGGGAATACTTCAAGATATAAAGCCAAGTTAAAATACTTTCATGTGTTTTAATTATAAAGTATTGGACTATGAATATTAATATTTTCACAATATTAACACGTTAACGCTTTATGTTGCCAACACTTTATGAATTTTTGTAATCTATGGTATCAATTTTTAGCTCACCTAAGCCAAAGGCTCAATTGAGCTTTTCTGGTCAAAAAGTGTCTGGCGTCCGTCTGTCGTCTGTAAACTTTTCACATTTTCGACTTCTTCTCAAGAACCAATTTCAACCGAACTTGCCACAAAGCATCCTTGGGTGAACGAGATGTAATTTTGTTCACAGGAAGTGCTGCGCCCTCTTTCAAGGGTAGATAATTAAGAATTCGTGAAAATTTGATGACATCTTTTAAAAATTTCCTTCTCAAGAACCCGTGGGCAAGAAAAGGTTAAATTTACGTGAAACCTTCATTACATGTACATACTCTAAATTCAAGTTTGTTTATATCATAACTGCATGGGGTAGGGCGGGACCACAAGAGGGAATCAAAGTTTTACATAGGAATATATAGGAAATGTCGAGGGTAATGTCTTTAATAATCTTCTTCTCAAGAACAGCAAAGCCATGATTAGTCATATTATAACATAAGTATCCTCAGGTAGTGTAGATTCAAGTTTGTTCCAATCATGACCCTCTGGGGGTAGGGCAGAGCCACAACAGGGGGTCAAAGTTTTACTTGTACATAGGAATATATAGGAAATATCTTTAAAAATCTTTTTCTCAAGAACAGCTGAGCAATTATTAGTTATATTGATACAGATGTATCCTTAGGTAGTGTAGATTCAAGTTTGTTCAAATCATGACCCCCAGGGGTAAGGCGGGACCAAAACAGTGGGTCAAAGTTTTACATAGGAAAATATAGGTGTAATGGTTAAGAGGCATTTGAGTAAAACGCATTGAAGACTTCAAATAGTGGAATGGGCTGACAACCCTTGGAATGGACTAGCCAAACCAAAGGGTATATAAGGCAAAGCTTTGGGAAAGCGAAGCATTCAGAAGCTAGTTGGATGTTGAATCAGCAGTAAAGAAGTTGAGGCATTCCATCTTTAATAGGAACAGATTCAGTGATATTGAATACATATCAGATGTGTAGGGGTTGTATACTCAGTATATTTAGACATAATTCCCATTTATTATTATTAGCATGTAAGGGTGGGATGTGTCCTAATTTATTACCTTGAATTTTGGTAAGAGTAATCTCCGTCTGTTTTTAATTAATAAAAAAAATCAATTTTAAAAAAATTATCTGGTAAAAAAGAGTGTTTTTAATTGTCATTCTATTTCTAATGTTTTAATGCATCTTTCCACCACAGTATTTATTGATATTATTATTTGAATTTTTATTTTAAAAAAATCGCTTGTCCCCATAGACTTCAATGCAATCTTTGCTAATTTATTACTGCTTAGTTAAATACATTTTTGAAACTTCCTCATAGTAAAAAATTTTCTACTGTAAAGTGATGTAAAATAATATCAGAATATTATACGTGATGGACATTTAAGGATAGAGGATGGAAAACATTAAGGGTAAAAGCAAAATGAAAGTATAAAAGTTATAAACACCAGTGGCAAGTATCCTGGGAAATTCATGTTAAGCTCTGGGTGTAGTAAATCTGAAGAAGATTGAGACACCCGGTACTTATCTATCAATAGGAATCTAGGGGAGAAACACGGTGCAAGTAGTACCTTACCTAGTCCCCGTCTATAGATAGGAGACAATTTAAGTACTGTGTGATATACACTCAGTCAGAGGTGTCTTAATAATCATTCCAATCATTAACTCAGACAGAGGAAAAGGAAAACCTATATATCCCTAAGCTTGTAAGAACCTGATCATACATGTTACATAGGAAATATCTTTAAAATCTTCTTCTCAAGAACAACTAAGCCATTATTAATCATATTTATACAAGAGCAAGCTTAGGTATAATAATTGTAGAATCAAGTTTGTTCAAATTATGACCCCCAGGGGTTGGGGGGGGGGCACAACAGAGGGTCAAAGTTTTGCATAAGAATCTATAAGAATCACCCTGAAAAAAATCTTCAACTCAAGAACAGCAAAGCCAAGGTTAGTCATATTATAACAGAACCATCTTCAGGTAGTGTAGATTCAAATTTGTTCAAATTTAGGGTGGGTAGGGTGGGGCCACAATGAGAGATCAGAGTTTTACATAGGAAAACGTAGGGAAAAAACATGATTAGTAATATTGAGATGGAAGCATCCTGAGGTAGTGTAAATTAAAGATTGCCACCACCCCCTCCCCCCATTCAATACTGAACTGATTTCTGCTTCTTCTTAGCCAGTGTGCTCAGGTTAGCGATGTGGCAGAGCGGCCTCTTCTTGATTTTACTGCAGTAGGAGTGCAACACAACTGTTTTATAATTATCAATAATCTTCATCTATCTTTACTAAAAAATTATTTTTTGAAATGTTTGATACTATTTGATGCTCTAAACAGTATGTCTGTCAACTTAAGCTTATTACATGCACTACACATATTTTTAAATACATTATATATATATATATATATATATATATATATATATATATATATATATATATATATATATATATATATAACACATTGCAAATAATAATGTTTTGAAGTCTTGAAAATATGAAAAACTTGCCGTAAATGATAAAAAAAAATCAAAACGACGAACTGATTTACAAACTAAGAATGGGTTATTGTGTGTTATGATTTTTAAAACAATGTTAAATAAAATACACATCAGAGGTCAGGAGTGCAAACAATAATGTAAAATAGGGTCACTTCAAAATCTAGTATTTTTTGTAGAAAAAAAACAAAACTTGTATATCAAAATTCTCTTTTGGCTTAGATTTAAAGAATTGACTTAAAAGGACGAAAATGATTTTTGGGGAATTTTCTTTCATATTAAAACTTTTCAAACCAGAATTGAAAAAATAATGTAAAATAACAATCAAAAAGCTAATTTGTTTCCACGTATACAAGAGAAGAAACTCAATCAAGGTTAAGATCTAATCATTTATATCCCTGATACACCGTTCACGGTAGCTCAGTCGGTAGAGTGCTCGCTCCGTGATCGGGAGGTCGTGAGTTCGAATCTCGGCCGCGACTAAGTCGATAAAAAATGGGTAGCAACTGCTCCTTCGCCATGCGAAAGTGAAAGTTGCGGGTCCTTCAGATGAGACCTTAAAAACCGAGGCACCGTGTCACCGCAGGCGTTGGCACGATCCCTCACTGCTCAATGGCCCCGAGTGCCGAGTAAAGTTCAAAATTTGAAGCCCTTCACCGGTACATGGTCTATATGAGTGAAAAATTCTCGAATGGGACGTAAAACAACATACAATCAATCAGTATAACCCTGATACCATTTTTGGAGCATAAAAACCATAATTTCTCTTGATTATGTATTTTAGAAAGTCTTTTAGGATGTAGTGATATTTTCTGTTTTTAGGTCACCTGAGTCACTCAGGTGACCTATTGCTAACTGTTTTCGTCCGGCGTCGTCCGTCGTGTGTTAACATTTGAACATTTTCAGCTTCTTCTCTGAAACCGCTCAACCAATTTCAGCCAATTTTAGCATATGTCATCTATGTGTAAAGGGGAACAATATTTGTGAATATCATGGTCCCTGCCCCCCTGGGGCCTGAGGGTGGGGTTAAAACCACAAAAATTAATGATATCTTTAAAAATCTTCTTCTTTATTCCTAGATATCAAGCATTCAAACTGTTGGCATGATTGTAATAAGCATTGAGCCCTCTACCAAAATTGTGAAATTCATGGCCCCAGGGTCAGGGGTTCTGGTGCGGGGGAGTATAGATCATATAGTGAAAGTGCATTATTTCTTTGAAAATCTTCTTCTCTGCTCCTGGGTATTATTGAAACAAATTGAATACATAGTTATGATAAGCATGAGAGACTCTACCAAAATTGTGAAATTCATGGCCCCAGGGTCAGGGGTTCTGGTGCTAGGGCGGGGCTCTATTTATTCTATAGTGAAAATGCATTAATGCTTTAAAAATCTTCTTCTCTGCTCCTGGGTATTTTTTAAACAAACTAAGTACATTGTTATGATAAGCAATGATGCCTCTTCCAAAATTGTGAAATTCATAGCCCCAGGGTCAGAGGTTCTGGTGCGGGGGGGGGGGGGGGTATATAGATCATATAGTGAAAGTGCATTATTTCTTTGAAAATCTTCTTCTCTACTCCTGGGTATTATTGAAACAAATTGAACACATAGTTATGATAAGCACGAGTGACTCTACCAAAATTGTGAAATTCATGGCACCAGGGTCAGGGGTTGCTAGGGCCGGGCTCTATTTATTATATAGTGAAAATGCATTAATGCTTTAAAAATCTTCTTCTCTGCTCCTGGGTATTTTTTAAACAAAGGTGACCGTTAAGGCCCTTGGGCCTCTTGTTAAATAAAGTTTTACTAATAAAAATTCTGAAACGTTTTATCCAATTGTCTATTATATTGCACTTCAGGAATTTTTACTAGAATGCATGTACAACATGATATAAGTGCAAAATATGTTATGGTTAATTGAATTTTTTCAAAAGATTTCAATTTGGTGGCCATTATTTTTTAATTCACCCTTAAAGTGCTTAGAGTTTTCCGTATATATTTTTTGTCAGCTGTTTGTCGGTCACCATGCCAGAATGGCGGTACGTGCGTATCCCCGGATGTGTGTGTATGCCGAAGTACACATACAGGATATAGTTGTGAGACGCGTAAGTATAAATACTAATTAAAACAAGATATAAAATCTGTAAATTATACATTGTCTTCAAAGCGCTCAAATTAACAAGATTATATTTTGGTGATTTAGCAACATAAACTTCCTCTTTTTTTAAATTTCTAATCATTTTTGGGGGATATGCCTTAAATGTCAAATACATTTGTATGTGTTGTATTTATTTCATCGTGGATTTAAAAGGAAAAGAGATCTAAACATTTTTATTGGTAGTAGTCATTGCTATCAAATGTACTCGTATTTAAAGACTGAAAGTTGAGAAGAAACTTGATTTTTGTTACAGCTGTATGCTCCCACCAATCACCCTGCTTTCCTGGCACGTGTGATAACTATGTAAACTGTCAGTGTCATAAAGGATTTACTGGACAGGATGGAAATCAACGCTGCAAAACAAGTACGAATAACTACTGCAGTTAAGGTGGTATATGTCCACACATTTACATCAGTTTGGTGTTAATTATAGAACAGTTTTAATTCACCTAAGCCAAAGACAGAGTGTGCATTTCTTATCGAAGAATGTCTGTTTGTTTGTCATTTGTTAACTTCATGCATTCTTAACCCCTTCTCCAGAATCACTTAACCAATTTCAACCAAACTTAACACAACTCATTCTTGTGTAAAAGGAAATTTGATTATTTTTTTCAAATAAATAGAGGATATTCAATGTTTAGTAGATGAATATGGAATTTATTTCACGAGTGGGACAGGATTTTTTGATATTTTCACGAGTGCGAAGCACGAGTGAAAATATCAAAAAATCCTGTCTCACGAGTGAAATAAATTCCATATTCATCTACAAAACATTGAATTTTCTGTTTATTACATTTTCTTTGATTTTCCCTTTTCCTCTGTCTTTTCTTAACACAGTGTCATAGGCTTGACGTCATAGTTGAGCGGTTGAGACGTCATAGTTTGGAAGTTGTGTGTCAGATTGAAAACATTACATAGCATGGATTTTAGCAACATATTTAGGAAGAAATTTGCAGTTTTAGCTCTATCAAGATGCTTAGTTACTATCTCTATCTTATGAAAGGCCAGAAATCATTTTTTACTTACTTTGATATCCTTTCACACTGTGAGAGAATATCATTTTTGGTATCCTTTCACACTGTGAGAGAATATCACTTTTATTCAATAAATAAATCACAGTATTTCACTGTTGAAAATGTAATAAACAAACCTACTCTGTAAAAAGAAGATTCTTAATTGAGAACAAAAAAGCAGGGCCATGATTTGTCAAATTAATATGCACGCATCCTCAGTTACTGCAGATTCAAGATTGTATGCACAAATCATGTCCCCGGGGGTGGTGGCGGTAAGAGGGGGAACAGTAAAAGAACAATAATCAAAGGTTAACAGTAGGGCCACAATATAAATGATATACGTGTTATCATGCAATTTTGTGACTGGGTTCAAGGCAACATGCTCATTTGTTGGACCTAAGAACCAAACAGTTTGGTTCGAGGGGGCCACAAAACACATTTTGCCCAAGAACAGTCAATAAATGTTTTGTTATACCTTTTATTATTTTTTTAACATACATGTACCTTGTGCTGACTTTCATGATGTAAATTTCTTTTACCCGTACTGCGGTAAACTTGGTCAATTCTGTCAATGTCGAACACCAACGAATGCAAATAAGATGTAGCTGACCCCGCCTACAGTGTGACGTAAGCGGTCCAATATCTCATCGACTAGTCCGATATCTCACCCTGCGGTCAAACATCGATATTTTTTATGACCGCTCAGAAAAATATTGGAAATGTTAGACTTTTTAATATAGATTTATATAGGAACCAATTTTTTTTTTAGGTATAACAAAATATTTTGTAAATACGGTTATCATGTATAATGAATGGAACATAAATCATTTTCGCAAACTTTGTTTTTGTATTAAATTATTATTGGTTATACTGTAACAACCTTTCCTCTGAACCTTTTTTTTTTACATTGTTTATCTATTGCCTATATGACAACTATTATGTCGATTTAAACCGAAAACGTCGCCTTAGTTCTCACCAGCTGTTGTGTACAATGTTCCAAAATTAGCTTCGTCAAAATTTCTCCAGAAGTAATAATCAACTACTGTAAAAAGAAACTACTTACAAATTCTTAACCATGAAACAGACTTGAAAGGAATTCAGGTGACTAATTTAAATGAAATCGTTAAGGACGGTATCATATCCTTACTTGAAAATTAAATGCATGCTTTAATTCAGCTTTCATAATTTCATTTCGCATAAAAATTATGTTGTTTCATTCTTTATGCACATAAAAACAATGAAAATATATATGTTTACAGTGACGTCAGAGATGGGCCCAATTATTACACAATGTACGTCCATTCTCGCTTTTATTGAAAGAACTGGTCAGAGGAGGGAAATGTACCGATTTGTCACCGATTCCTCTGAACCAAACTCTACGAAAGTAGATACAATGTGGGTAAATCAAAATGACTACAACTATATCAACATCACATTTGCCGCCATCTTCACAGCACCAGACAACCTAGTTGTTCCAAAATATGTGAAAAAATTTAAAATGGGAATCATTTCCGGAAGAATAACCATTTTTCTTCACAAAGTGGGAAGAAATGGTGAATATATGTTAATTAACTTCCATTTACATGACAAGGAATGAGCAAGATATTGTGTAATATAAATTAAATATAGAAAACACGAGTAAATGTTATACTCTTATCTGTCTTACTAGACGGGAACAAACCTTTTGTGAGCCGAAATGATACCATAGACTGTAAAAGTAAGCCTGGTCCCCACAGTCCAAACGATGATGTATTTTACTGTAACTACACGGATGAAAACTTCGACAGACAGCTGGAAAATGGCGACAAGTAAAACAAACTTAGTATTACTTTTCTTTCCGCTTCTTTCTAGATTTTCATGAATCGTTATGTAATCTTTCAATTGTAATGATTTTTCCTATCGTCAACTTCCCTCTTATATATTATATATATATTTATGTGTGTGTGAGGGTGTGTGTGTGTGAGGGTGTGTGTGTTTGTGTGTACATCATTATAATTATTCTAAACAACGCGTTACTGGTATCTGATTGGTTCTAGATTATCACGTGACATGGCCATAAAACTTCATATTTCCCTGTCGTTGTCATGCTTTTCATCATATTCAACCTCTTCGGAGACCTGGTGCATTTTCCCGAAATAGTTATCATTCGTTGAACGAAAACTCCCGAGAGTAGTTAAGACGTCACAATAGCCTTGTTCACGTCACAAAATTGCCGATGGACTTCTGTAAATTGTTTCAGTAACACCACCTTAAAATTGAAAGTGATTTTAAGAGCGGTGCCGAATTTGAAAGTTTATATTCATTTTTCAAGTTTTTGCTTGTTTCGTTATAATAAACAATTAATTGCATGAATGTTCGGGAAAAATGAAGATTTATTCAGCTAAGAAATATCATATTCCCATTCTGCGAAGCCCTCGAAGAATATGATTTGTGTATTATTGATCCGTACGTAACATTGATGGTAGAGACAATTTATTAAAGAAATCTATCAAACAGATGGCTTTAAAAAAAATCGGCTCTAGCTGATTTAAAATCAATCGATTAAGCAACGAATCGGTTTCATTTGAAATAAAGGAGGTAAGATTCAGTGAATGTAAATATTATATACACTGTATTTAACAGTCATTAAGGTCTTCCGTTTCAGACGGAAGACCTTATAGTGATTCTACTGTTTATTATTATTATTATTTTTTTCCCGTTTTTTGTCCAAGCGATTTCTCAGAGATGGCTCTATGGATTTTCTTGAAACTTTCAGGAATTATGAAAAATAAAATAAACTAAAAACATTTTGAAGGATTTTGCAAAATTCACTTCCGGTCGTCAGATATGTCCAATTTCCGTTTTTTCAAAAGAGATCATGTCCGGACGATATCTCAGAAACGGTAAAAGATTAAGACCTCAAACTTTCAGGGATTATAGATCATAACAAGTATGTTTGCAGAATATGTTTAAATTTGTCAGCCGTCACTTCTGGTCGTCACAGGAAGTGATCAAAGAAATCAAAAATTTCAACTTTTCTTTTTTGGATTTAATCTTGCATGGCATTATTGTATCTGTTTCGCAGTTTTGAAATATGTTGGTCCCACCGGAAACAAAAACGTCAACTTCCGGTTATAAGCGAAAAACTACATAATTTGAGCATTTTACTTTCCCATAAATATCTCTTATAGATTAAGTGTTTGAAATGGTTTTTTAATATATTTTTTAGACTGCAAATGTCTAGAGTAACGTCAAATATCTTGGTAAAATTCACTTCCGGTCGCGTGTTTTACTGTCCGCAAAATAAGAATTTGTGCAAGTGAGATCTCAAAAACAGTAAGAGATTAAGACACCAAACTTATAGGAGTAATAGAACTCAAGGAGTAGGCAAAACCATTTGGGTTGATAGCGTCAGCCGTCACTTCCGGTCGTCACAGAAAGTGATCAAAGAAATAAAAAAATTCAACTTTTCTCTTTTGAAATAAAACTTGCATCATATAATTGAATCTCTTTCACAGTTTCTATATGTGTTGGTCTCATTGGAAACAAAAAACGACAACTTCCGGTTATAAGAGAAAACTATGTAATTGGGATTTTTATCTTTCCCAAAAGTATCGCTTATAGATAAAGTTTTTTGAAAAGATTTTTATATATGTTATTGAGATTGCAATTGTCTAGTGTGACGTTAATCATCTTAGGAAAATGCACTTCCGGTCGCGTGTTTTTCTGTCCTCAAATTGAGATTTTGTTTACCAAATTGCTCAGAAACAGTACATTGCTGAAGTCTAAAACTTTCAGAACTGATAGTCAGTCCTCAGTTTATCTACATCATGTAAAAATCGTACGTTGCCGTCACTTCCGGTCGTGACAGGAAGCGATGCAGAAAAGTGAATTGTTACAGTTTTTTTTCTTTTTACAAAAATGTTTGGCTAATGCCCATGTTAGATAAACCATAACCATGCAATTTATTATCACCGGAAGTGCAAACCGAAAAACCGGAAGTTGTCTCAAACATGAGTAGTTTTTCATGGAAACTTTTAGGGAGGATCAGTTGTGAATAATTAAGGTGTAGAATGAACATTTTATTCGTTTGGAGCACTTTCTTTCATGACGAAGTACATAAAGAAAACAGGAAAGTAATTCCGTTTGTTATTATTTGTATTTATATATCTTTGGAAGCCTTGAGATGACTTTTGTTAATTATTTAGAGTAATCTTATTGGCAAGATTGTGTTTTTTTTTTGTTTTTTTGTTTTTGTTTTTGTTTTTTTTTTTTGGAAGAAGTCAAGAAAACGGAAGACCTGTTATTGCCTAGGCAATAAGTATCTAGTTTATTTTTACTTTTGCATAGTTTAACTCTGACAGTTTTTACTGAAAACGGGGGCTATAGAGAATTAATAGGATCATCGGGTATAAAGAAAGACCTATTTATCGGCCAGATGTCTACAAAATCTACAATGTTTCGCTTTGATTTTGTGAAGCCAAACCACTGCCTTCTAGACAGAACATGTGAGATAAAAGCCTTTGATGTGTCAGAGGATATTACCAAGGTAATTTTAATTGTTGGTATTATTATGTTCCCCAAACGGAGTTTGGGAACATATTGTTTTTACTCTGTTTCTTATTATTATTATTATTATTATTAAGGTCTTCCGTTTCAGACGGAAGACCTTATAGTGATTCTACTGTTTATTATTATTATTATTTTTTTCCCGTTTTTTGTCCAAGCGATTTCTCAGAGATGGCTCTATGGATTTTCTTGAAACTTTCAGGGATTATGAGAAATAAAATAAACTAAAAACATTTTGAAGGATTTTGCAAAATTCACTTCCGGTCGTCAGATATGTCCAATTTCCGTTTTTTCAAAAGAGATCATGTCCGGACGATATCTCAGAAACGGTAAAAGATTAAGACCTCAAACTATCAGGGATTATAGATCATGACAAGTAAATTTGCAGAATATGTTTAAATCCGTCAGCCGTCACTTCCGGTCGTCACAGGAGGAGATCAAAGAAATCGAAAATTTCAACTTTTCTTATTTTAATTAAATTTTGCATCGCATTATTGCATCTGTTTAACAGTTTCGAAATATGTTAGTCCCACCGGAAACAGAAACGTCAACTTCCGGTTATAAGAGAAAAACTACATAATTTGAGTATTTTACTTTCCAATAAATATCGCTTATAGATGAAGTATTTGAAATGATTTTTAGATATGTTATTTAGACTGCAAATGTCTAGAGTAACGTCAAATATCTTGGTAAAATTCCTTCCGGTCGCATGTTTTACTGTCCGCAAAATAAGAACTTGTCAAAGTGAGATCTCGGAAACGGTAAGAGATTAAGACACCAAACTTATATGAGTAATGGAACTTAATGAGTTGGCAAAACTCTTTGGGTTAATAACGTCAGCCGTCTCTTCCGGTAGTTACAGGAAGTGATCAAAGAAATCGAAAATTTAAACTTTTCACTTTTGAAATAAAACTTGCATCATATAATTGAATCTCTTTCACAGTTTCTATATGTGTTGGTCTCACTGGAAACAAAAAACGATAACTTCCGGTTATAAGAGAGAAACTATGTTATTGGGATTTTTAATATTCCCAAAAATATCGCTTATAGATAAAGTTTTTGAAATGATTTTTACATATGTTATCGAGACAGCAATTGTCTAGTGTGAAGTCAACAATCTTAGGAAAATGCACTTCCGGTCGCGTGTTTTTCTGTCCTCAAGTTGAGATTTTGTTCACCTAAATGCTCAAAAACACTACATGACTGAAGTCAAAAACTTTCAGAACTTATAGTTAGTTACCAGTTTATCTACATCATGTAAAAATCGTACGTTGTCGTCACTTCCGGTCGTGACAGGAAGCGATGCAAAAAAGTGAATTTTTAAAGTTTTTTTTCTTTTTGTAGAAATGTTTGGCTAATGCAGATGTTAGATAGACCATGACCATGCAAATTATTTTTATACATTTTATTCGTTGGGAGCACTTTCGTTCATGACGAAGTACATAAAGAAAACAGAAAAGTAATTCCGTTTGTTTTCATCTGTATCTACATATCTTTGGAAGCCTTGATATAACTTTTGTTATTATTTAGAGTAATCTTATTGAGATGATTGTGGGTTTTTTTTTCAAAGAAGTCAAGAAAACGGAAGACCTGTTATTGCCTAGGCAATAAGTATCTAGTTAAGGTCTTCCGTCTTCACGGAAGACCTTATAGTGATTCTACTGTTTCTTATTATTATTATTATTATTATTATTATTATTATTATTATTTTTTTTTTTTTAAGACAAATTTTGTGCACACAATATCTCGAGAACTATTCAGTGGTTTTTCATCAAACTTTCAGGGATAATGCGCTTTAAAATGCCATTGTTACATTTGAAAGTATTTTGGAGAAATTTGCTTCCGGTTCCAAGTTATGGACATTTTTCTGATTTTGAAATGAAGTTTTATCCGCGCGAGATCTAAAGAACGGCTAAAGATATGAACCGGAGACTTGTTGGAGAGCATAGAACATGACTTTTAGATATGCGGGTTTGCCTTTTCGTGCATCGGGAGTACTTCCGGTCGCTACCGGAAGCGAATGAAAAAAGTCCATTTTTTCAACTTTTACGTTTTTCAATATTTTTCTTTGATTTTAATAGGGGTAATAGAAACTCTTATTGTAATGCTTAATATATAATTCATTTTTAAAATTGTCTATCAGAATACATTTAAAAAATAGATCTTTTAGACAAATCTTGTGCACGCAATATCTCAAGAATTTTTCAATGGTTTTCCATCAAACTTTCAGGGATAATGTGCTATAAAATGCCATTGTAACATTTGAAAGAATTTTGGAAAAATTCGTTTCCAGTTCCAAGTTATGGACATTTTCTTATTTTGAAATGAAATTTTATCCTCGCGAGATCTAAAGAACGGCTAAAGATATGAACTGGAGACTTGTTGGAGAGCATAGAACATGACTTTTAGATATGTGGGTTTGCCTTTTCGTGCGTCGTGAGTACTTCCGGTCACTACCGGAAGCGAATGAAAAAAGTCCATTTTTTCAACTTTTACTTTTTTCAATATTTTTCTTTGATTTTAGTAGGGTTATATTCCTTTATAGATGCAAGTTACCGAACATAATAGGTATCAGATTCCTTGAGCGTCATATGGCGAGACGTGTTTTGTTGCAAACATTCAGGACTTTTCATTAATGTGTTACTAATTGGAATAGTCCACTTTGGGGGTTAAGAGGAATATAAAATGTGTAAGAAAACTTAGCGCTGCCTTTATGTTACTTGCCCGTATACGATATGTTATATGTACAGTGTGATAAATAAACATTCTTGGGCTCGAAAATCAGGCTATATCAATATATTTTTTTTTTTTAAATTTCCTTGAAGCTATCACGTACACTTATTCAATTGAAGACACATTTCAAAGAAAAGGTGCGAAGATTTACTCGTGACGTTTGGCGCGAAATAATGTATCTTGACCCGCCTTTCACAAATGGTCTGATGCAGTAGTGTAGAAGTACAGAAAAAGATTGCACGGACATGTCTGTATTTGGAATTGCATAGAATAGAAAGCTGAATGCATAAAGAATAAAGGAAGTAAACACAATAGTTTTTTTTTAGTTTTTATCAGTAACAGATTATTTTCTCTGCTATCAGTTATTGTTAAAACTCAAGTAACAAATCCGATGTAAATCTATTAGCACTTGCACAAAATATAGCTGGCTAGTTTTCATCCTATAATTCTGCACTATAAGAAAAAAAAATAACCTGCCTGACGCTCGTTACTTCAGGGAATGAGTGCAAGGTAAACATCAATGAGGGCTGGTACATTGCGCTAGTGTAGTGGTTTCAATATTAAAGAACAAGGTTCACTTAGGGCCTTTTTTGGCCCTGTGAATTTCAGAAAAACTTAAACTGCTTGGTTTTAGTTGACGATGCATTAAATATTATTTAGACCTTTGATGACTGCGTATCTATCAAAAATGACGTAATTTTCTGGCTAGCCTATGCATTAAGACGTCATGAAATGCGTCATTTTCCTCGTATCCTTAAAATTTCTACAAAACAGCCAATTTTTAAAGCTATTTTCGCATATTTAATATAGGACGTAACCTCTGATCTTAAATATGCAACTATTAGATAATAGAAGTATTTCTGAGGATTACAAAACCTGTTTTATTTTTTTAGATCAGAGGGTGCGCTCATATTATTTCTCTTCTTTCTTTTTTAAACAAAGAATTGCATCACTTTATTGCATCTCTTTCGCTTTGTTTTAAAATATGTTAGATACCAGCGGAAATAATCGTCAACTTCCGGTCTATTGCTCGGCAACAGTAAATGACTGAAGTCTAAAACTTTCAGGACTGATAGACAGTCATCAGTTTATTTGAATCGTGACAAAATCTTGTATCGCCGTTACTTCCGATCGTGACAGAAAGTGATGCAAAAAAGGGAATGGTTAATGGTAAGCACGTTGGATTTTCAGGCTGACGACCAGGGTTAAATCTCCACAGAGTGTCTGAATTTCTTTTATCACTTTTTAGCTTGAGTTTTCTTTTTTTTTTTTCAGAATCGGACGGAAGACCTCTCATTGTTCGCAATGAGTTTCTAGTTATTAGGGTCTTCCGTCTTCAGCGGAAGACCCTTCTATTATTCTATTGTTTCTTTTTCACTTTTATTATTATTCTTTTTTTTTCCTTACCGATTTTGTGCAGAAGATTTCTCGGAGATGGCTTGGTCAATTTGCTCCAATTTTTCAGAGTTTATGTGTTACCATCTGAAGTTTGTACCGGCACTTCAATTTTGAAAAATTCACTTCCGGTCGGAAGTTATCGCCCCTTTATTGGATTTTAGAGGGTCTCTTTGTCGGCTCTGGAACTCAAAAACGGATTTAGCTAAAGTGCTGAAATTTTTACCAAAGCTAGAGGACATGTTGCCATTGTGCACCTGGGTTTTCAAATCTTCCGGAAGTGCCTAGTATGGAAGCTCGGTAGGGGTCGAAATTTAGGACATGAATCGGGAGTGAAATTTCGAGACATTTTTTATCATATCTTCAAAACCATGAATATTTTCTTAAGACATATTGAATAGAAATTATGTAGATTTTCATGATCTTTTATATCATATCAAGAAAAAAGGGCTGACCCTTCAAATTAGGGGCCAAGAGGAGCCAAAATTCTTGAATCCATAACTCTTTAACGATCAATATTTTGTTATATATTACTGAAGCAAAAATGTTTATCTTAATAGTCTACAACTATATATTATAATATTTACGACATATGTTACATAATTAGGGGCCAGAAGGGGCCAGAATGCAAAATCTTTGACGCTTTATATCTCAAAAGTGGGAAATATTTTGATGAGCAATACTGAACAAAAGATGTCCAAAATAATGTTCTAAACAATATGCAACCTTTCAATTTTTGCTAAATGTCCCCCTTAAGGAGTTGAAGGGCCGGCCCCTAAATATTTCTTTTGCAAATATCTTGGAAACGAAAAAGAATTTCTGAACAGTTATTGAACAAAAAGTGTTTAAAAT